TTGCCCTGTGCACCATATTTGAGTATTTTTATTTCCCTGGGAAAGAATATTACAGTGAGCTCTTAGTCGCAGGCCTATCCTATCCTAATGGATTGTCACGACAGGCTCAGATCAGATTGTTGAGTCATGTGTGAGGATTGTGCGTCTCACACACACAAAAAAAATCTCTACTTTGCATCTCTATCACCACATGTGTTTTTGCACTACTAGCATTACTAAATGTAACTGCAAAAACAACTGTTTTCTGACAGGTTTCCCAAACACGCCACCTACAATATTGCAGTGAGAACGTGAAATATTTAGACCATGTTTCCATGTATTTCAGCAGTAGCACACAGCAAAATCCAGTCCTTTTTGTGTTAAATTTGAAAATAATACGTTATGCGTGTGATTAAGACATCAAAATCTGCACTATAGTGGAGCCAGCAGCAGGCTGAACTGAATGTGACTCTGCTTGAAGGGATATGGTTTAAAACAGTCATGAGATGCATGAATGTGCAGTGAGCTTCATTAGGCAATAACCTTCAGTTTGCATACCTTGTCAGGAGCATTGTGGGTATTTTTGAATGATACAGAATGACATTAGTGTGTTTAAATGTGCTGTAAGCAATTTCAGCTGTTTTAACATAAGCAAACCTGAACAGACAAAATAATTAACATTCAGAGAGAATTTCCAATTGCCTATTTTTCTGCATGGGTGCTGAATTTTTTTTATTTATTTTTTGCTGTTTACAGAGTCTAAGGCCTTGTTCAGACTGGCAGAAAAAATCTCAGAAATTAGATTTTGGTTAACCTCAGTCCAATTTCACAGATTTCTTTTTTTCCTGCACAGTTGTTATATTGCGACAAGAAATGAAAACATACGGCACACACTTTGTCATTTTTCATGCATTTTTGCTACATCTATTGCTAAAGTCTCAAAATGGTGCAAAAGTGACTGAAAAAAATCAGATCTGGCTGCATATAACTTATATTTCCTCTGCAGTGTGAACAGAGCCCAAGGCTGACATTTGGAGCGGGGCTAAGCTATGCAGAATCTCCAACTATGATCATTAGGAGTGCAGATGTGTGAAAATGATGAACTACAATATCTGTGTTTTTATAGGCAAGTATTTATGAAAGTACTTGGAATTATGACTTTGAATAATGAAATTACACTACAAATATGATGCAGGCAGATGTCCTTGTGTGACAGCAGTGACCAAAACAATAATTTGTTAAAAAAAGTGTGTAGTTAATGTGAAAATGTATGCCTGCAACTATTTATAACTGTTTTATTTTAATGAATTCTAAACAATTGTGAGGAGAGCAAGTAGCTGCTCTTCTCAGCGAAAAGTGAATTTTGTGATCCCCCTCCCGCTGTCAGAGCTTAAGCGTTCCCATGATCTCTAAAAATATAGGACATTCTCCCATAATCCCTGTTTTACGATGATGGAAATCTGTAAGTCTGTCTGCATTTGTGGTAGTGTTGCGTTTGTGTGTGTGTCTGTTATAGAGATGGGAGAATGTGAAAGAGATATTCATCTTGACTAAAGTTTTGAACTTGTACAAATATGAAATCACACATCTTGACCTCCGCGCTGCCTCTCTCAAGACAGATCTGAGTCGCCCCACATGGTATAAATATCTGACCATGAGCTCTCAGGGCAAATTGAACGTTATAAGCTACCAGCCAAGAAGTGCAGTGACAAACATAAGCAAACCTGAACAGACAAAATAATTAACATTCAGAGAGAATTTCCAATTGCCTATTTTTCTGCATGGGTGCTGAATTTTTTTTATTTATTTTTTGCTGTTTACAGAGTCTAAGGCCTTGTTCAGACTGGCAGAAAAAATCTCAGAAATTAGATTTTGGTTAACCTCAGTCCAATTTCACAGATTTCTTTTTTTCCTGCACAGTTGTTATATTGCGACAAGAAATGAAAACATACGGCACACACTTTGTCATTTTTCATGCATTTTTGCTACATCTATTGCTAAAGTCTCAAAATGGTGCAAAAGTGACTGAAAAAAATCAGATCTGGCTGCATATAACTTATATTTCCTCTGCAGTGTGAACAGAGCCCAAGGCTGACATTTGGAGCGGGGCTAAGCTATGCAGAATCTCCAACTATGATCATTAGGAGTGCAGATGTGTGAAAATGATGAACTACAATATCTGTGTTTTTATAGGCAAGTATTTATGAAAGTACTTGGAATTATGACTTTGAATAATGAAATTACACTACAAATATGATGCAGGCAGATGTCCTTGTGTGACAGCAGTGACCAAAACAATAATTTGTTAAAAAAAGTGTGTAGTTAATGTGAAAATGTATGCCTGCAACTATTTATAACTGTTTTATTTTAATGAATTCTAAACAATTGTGAGGAGAGCAAGTAGCTGCTCTTCTCAGCGAAAAGTGAATTTTGTGATCCCCCTCCCGCTGTCAGAGCTTAAGCGTTCCCATGATCTCTAAAAATATAGGACATTCTCCCATAATCCCTGTTTTACGATGATGGAAATCTGTAAGTCTGTCTGCATTTGTGGTAGTGTTGCGTTTGTGTGTGTGTCTGTTATAGAGATGGGAGAATGTGAAAGAGATATTCATCTTGACTAAAGTTTTGAACTTGTACAAATATGAAATCACACATCTTGACCTCCGCGCTGCCTCTCTCAAGACAGATCTGAGTCGCCCCACATGGTATAAATATCTGACCATGAGCTCTCAGGGCAAATTGAACGTTATAAGCTACCAGCCAAGAAGTGCAGTGACATTATAAAAGCCCACACAATGCAATTTCAATATTCAAGCTCAAGAGGTAAACGCATGCTTCGGGTATTAATATAATGTAAAGCCTAGTATAATGATTGTTAATAATGTGCTTCAGTAGAGGGAAATCTCAATCTTGATTTTGTGATACTGGGAATCCTTTTGATTTGTTTCATCACCAAATATTGATTGGATCCTTATCCTTGATCAGAGTCCTAAACCTCTTTGTCGTTCTTGTTATCTGCTGTTTGATCAAAGCACAGTGCCTATCTCTCTCCCGGACATCAGTTTTGGTTTGCGTTCCCGGTTGTTCCTGTGCTTTATCTGCTTTCACGTTGTGAATGTTGGCGGATAAACCGGCCAGGATGTCTGCTAAAGCCTCCTAAAGTGTTTCTTAGAAGTCCACAGACTGGCATGAATCTTTAATGGCTGACTGCGTGAACATGCCTGAAGCAAATATGATAACGAGATGAAAAAAACAGAAGTGGTGAATGAAACATAGAGCACTATTGATGCCGGCTTAATGGAGGCGAGCTCAGTCAGAATGGATGTTGCCATCACTCTATCTGAATGAATATCGAATGACTTTGAATGGTTAGAGTGCAGGAAAAGCTGGCTAACCTCCGATTAGCCTGCCAGTGAAAGGTTCGCTTGTATGCTGCTTGTTGTGTCAGAGCAGTCTGTGACACTGTGAATAGTATCTTACCTTATGTTTTTACTCTGGTAAATTACACCCTTCGCAGCATGAGGTTTCTCAGCCCAAAGGACTGTCACTATGTCTGCTTGCATGTGTGTGTGTTTGATGGGGTGGCATATGGGAAAAGCAGACAAGTTCACAGTTGGTTTAGTCTGGGCAGACATGCAGGAGAAAATGTTGTTGCCAGGCTCAGTAAAGCAGGTAAACAAGAGGGTTTTCCTGTGGTCTCCAGTGTGCAACTAAACCTTACAAAGAGAAAATAACTGCTCAGGTGCTGTGAGAGCAACAAATTATGTTGGAAGCCTCTTATTTCCTACAGACCACCCTCAATGTCAATGTGCACAAACCACATCGAAATTTACCAACATCTCTGTTGGAAAAGACAAAATCCAAATGCTTTACATCCCGTGTCTACTGTTGAGGACTGTATTATGACAATGAGCAGCTATAATTCATCTCAAGGACAACCCTTACCAAAAAGTAGTATACTTCAAGTTTATTTTAGTAAGTATACTTAAGTAAAGTTCAAGTCTATTTTTAAATATACTTTATGTAGTAAGTATACAAATATCAGTGTACTAGTAGTATACGTGTACTAGCGCCCCCTACAGTATAACCATGAAAACACGGATTCTAGGAGCACAATTATAGCTAAAATATATTTAGACTTTTTCTAAGTATAAGTCAAGTATACTTAAATGCCATTTTAAGTATATTTCTGAGAAGTACATAAAGCCCATTTCTGAGAAGTACATAAAAAGTAGACTAAAAGTATACTTTCCTATTTTTAGTTTAAAAGAAGTATACTAGCACACTTGAATAAACGTCTTTTTCGTAAGGGAACAGCGATCCCCCACTATTTCAGTGGCCTTCGTTCCAGAAGTATTTTTTACCCGTCATTTTCTTAATACACTTTTACAAACATTGGCATCTATGGTTCCATGAAGAATCTTAAACATCCATGGAACCTTTCCATTGAGCAAAGCAGTCTTTATAATGGAAAAAAGGTTCTTCAGATTATTAAAAAGTTCTTCACACTAGGAAAAAATGGTTTTATTAAGAACTGTTCGCTGAAACTTTCTTTGGGGACCCAAAATGGTTCTTTAATGGCACTGCTGAAAAAAAAAAATTTTGGAACCTATATTTTTCAAGAGGGTAGGGATTTTCTTTTTAAATAAAAATTATGAAAAAAAAAACAACCAACTCCAAGACAAATCATGATATTACAACCTCTGATTGATAGCAAAAAAAGTAGGCTTATGAAAACGGAATATGTATAGAAGTCTTTGATGAGGGACTCTAATGATGTAACTGCTCCAAAAATGCAGGTATGATGTAAAACTATTCAACTGATATATACTGTATATATTTCATGTTAACAGCGTGGCTACAGAATCATATATCATTGCTTAACAATCTCTGAGCTTTTAGCTGATTTACATGATATCATTAAAAATTTATTTCTCGATGGAGAAAATTAATGGGCTTTGTTCATCCAGATCTGACTGCTGTGCACAAAATCTTCACAAAAATATTTTTTATCTTCACAGCTTTGATATCAGCAGGATGTTGCAGCAACAACTGCAGGAATGTGAAGCTCTGGGACAGGTGAGTTCTGCCCTACATAGACAGCATTTGTAGGCATCACTGGTCTGCTCCTGATGTGAAGGCTATTCCAAAACAGTAGGCAGCTAAATTATGCTGCTTTATAAGAAACCTTATTTTGACCAACATCTAAGGCAGCATTGTATACTTTGCTGATGCATCGCAACAATACATTAAGTGCAGATTTTCAATAAATCTGGCAAAATGACAATTGTAAATTGTAAAACAATAGAAAAAAGTGCTAAGTGATTAAACTAGCCTACCAAAAATCTGTGCATTGTATGTATTTTTTGTGCTGCTTAGAGTATTGAATTGTTAGTTTAGCAGCAGGCTAAAGTCAAAACTCTATTAGAATTAACTGTGATGAGACTATCACAATTTATTTGAGCCAATGTTATTGTTATCTAAAACTAAAATTCTATTGTTGTTAACTGAAATAAATCTGAAACAAAATAAAATATCAAATGACAAATTTAAATATTCTAACTTTTGCATCAAAAGTGTAATTTGAAGTACTAAAATGACTACAACTGAATTTTTTTTAAAGCTAAACAGAATGATTAAAATAATAATAACAAAAGCACATAAATACTAAAACTTAAACTGAAATTAAAATGAAAAGAAATAAACAAAAAGACAAATAAATATACTAATAAATACTATAATAGTATATAAATAACAGTAAAATAACATTCTGGTCCATTTTGCAGTTTATTGTGGCCGAGAACCACCCACTAAGAAAGAAAGAAACTGTCTGACAGACATCTAAAATGACCAACCACATAGTTTGGCAAATGAAATCTGTGTTGCCACAATGACAGGCCAACAAACTCATTCAAATTGTTCTACAGATCTACAGAAAACATCAAGTTGCAGAGAAAGAGAATCTTTCAAAAATCTGATACTGCAAACCTAACAAACTAAACAAATCTAGAGACTAGTTCTTCCACCAAAGTGCTCATTATATTAACCAGGTTCCTTTTAAACGTGATTTTGTTTCCTGGCAGACTGACCTCTTCCCCCAGACTCCTGGAAATTGTGAAGCAGTCAGAGTTCCATCTGATCTGATTTTCACAAGTGCTTTCCAGTTTTGTGTGCAATATGCATGAACAGATGGTACTTTCTGAGGCTGAGACTAATGGGGTTGCTGCCTGTATAGAGCATTTCACTTCATTTAGAGGGCTGTCAAAGAAGAGAGTTTCCAATGGAGACGTTACACAGCAAAGGCAGCTCACCAGTGTCCCATCAAGGGATTACTCACCAGTGTCCCCCCCCCGATGCTGATTTTCAGTTTGTTGTTGTTTGTGGCAATTGTGGTAAAAAGACATAAACTTCCATGCTATATACACTGTAAAAAAAATTCCGTAAAATTTACGGTAAAAAAACGGCATCAGCATGAAACAATTAAAGCCTGTGCAAGCTGTCATATTCAATTTGCATAAGAGGGTGAAACGGTTTTGGAATCATATTTGAATTTTTTTATGTAATATGTCTTGTTTGGGGCACTATATATCCAAACTCTCATAGAAACTAGTGCAAAGATTGCGATAATAAAGATGTTTTAATAAAGTTGCCTGCAGACTTAAAGGAATAGTTCACCCAAAAATGAACATTCTGTCATCATTACTCACCCTCAAGTCCTTTTTTGAACATCAAAAAAAATCTATTTTAAAGATTGTGGGTAACCAAACACTTGATGGGTAACCAAACACTTTTACACACTGTAAAAAAAAATGTGCTGTGGTTGCCGGAATTTTAGCAACGGTAGCAACGTTTTAGGTTTTACGGTTTTAACTTAAATTTACAGTTAAATACCGTAATTTCATTAACTGATATAATGTTAATATACCAACCTTTTGAAGTACTGAAATCTGTTTTGTACCTTTGTAATACACTGATAACCACCAAATGCAGGTGGTGAAAGTCACATGATGGACCAAAGCCTATCACAAGCAGCTTTTAAATAATAACATATATAGAATGTGCACAGTGTCATTCACACAAACACCAAACACCATCATGGTAACACACATGAAACTGAAATAATGCAATAAACATTCATTTAACAACATTAGGTGTAACATACAACCCTAATATACAAAACTGATAAGAAAAAAACTAAGAAACATAGTTATTTCAACAAAAAAAAACATCAAATTTGAAATGCAATTCAGGGAATTCTGGGAATGTCAATTTATGGTTATTCACTGTAAATTATACGGTATTTTTCATTCAATTAATGTCCAATACATGTAATGTCCAATACAGTTTTTCACCGTATATAGTAGGGGAATTTACCGTTAACCATTTAACAGGTTTTTACTGTAGCATTTTTACAGTCTTTTACCGTTAAATTCACGGTCATTTTTTACAGTGTATGGATGATTTCATTACCTGAACCTGTCATTAAAGGAACAGTTTTGTCATTTTGTAAGTGAAAATGTTGTCATCACTTACTCACCTTCATGTTCAGACGCCTGTATTATTACAATAAGGTCATTTGTTAACATTAGTTAATGTATTAAGTAACATGAACTAACAATGAACAATACATTTGTTACAGTATTTATTAATCTTTGTTAATGCTAGTTAATGAAAATACAGTTATTCATTGTTTGTTCATGTTAGTTCACAGTGCATTAACTAATGTTAACCAATACAACTTTTGATTTTAATAATGTATTAGTAAATGTTGAAATTAACATTAACTAAGATCAATAAATGCTGTAGAATTATTGTTCATGCTTAGTTCATGTTAACTACTGTTTGATAATGAACCTTACTGAAAGTGTTACCGTTTTAACAAAAACAATAATAGTGACATAATAATGACATAATAATGACACAATAAGAACCGACACGGAAAAATCCAAAATTCTAAATTGCTCTACAAAACTATTTGGTGAGTGTTTGTTAGTTTTTCCAATGATGTGCTTATAATATTAACCAGGAACAGGTAAAGTATACTTTAGTTACCATAAATGCTTTCGACTGTGGACTTTAACTATAGTGCAATAGGACAATAGGAATAACTATGAAATTACTTAAAAGATGAACTGAAGTCCTACTCAGGAAAAAAAGTGGTAACTTACAATTAATTATGCATAATTACATGCAAGTAACCCTAAGCCAAACCCTAATCCTAACCCTAACCATATAGTAAGTACATGTAGTTAATTAATATTACCCAGTACATAAATGTATAATTGCACTGTAACAAGGACACCTTAAAATAAAGTGTAACCAAAAAAGCTCAACTAATTGCACTTAATATAAATTTAAATTATAACACAATATAATTCAAATGTAAATCACATGCAATTAAGAGTCCGAAAACGTTACATTCAGTTTGCACTTAAGTAACTTTATTATTTCTGTAAGTACTATTTTTTAAGTGTACTTCTTTTTCACCAGGGGTACATCCATATTTTTATGTAAGGCTGCATATTTTAAATGCATATATGGAATAAAAGTTTATTTAGCCAAATGTTAGGCGTACAATAGCATGCAGATAGTTTCAAACAGACTAAGTGCTGCAAAAATCCAATTTTAGGGTCTTTAAACACTGTTTTATTGCTTAAAATGGCTACCGCTTAAAGCTAAATTTCTGTCTCCACAGTTTTGACGGCTCTTCTTGACCACGCCGTTGCTTGGAGGTTTGGGTTGGCACAGGGACCCCTGGAGCCCCACTCTCATCAGGCAGATATTCCATCCCTTCACCTTGTACACGATGGGCCAAGCAGTCATGCCCCATTTCAGTTGTCATAACAGCAGTTCGCTTTGTGGACCCTCTGGTGCAATCATTTCAAAGGGGACTAGAGCGAGATGCAGTATGTTCTCCCCAACCGTCGGGATGAAAGAAGACGCTTGCACAAACCACAGAAACAGACACACCCACACACAGCTATGAGAATCTAAATGTTTCCTGTGGTTAGAGATGTTTAACAGTACTGCATTTGGGTAATCAAACACTTGAGCCGTCCCTTTCTCTATATCGGTGTTTCTCTGTATCATGTTGAGTAGCAATAGGACACATGAAACAAAATGCTGTGGCTTCTCTGAAGGTGCTTCCCTGCCCTTGATGTTTATTTATGCAGTTTCTTTTCAACCAAAGCTAATTGAAATATCTCTATCGTTCATTTTTCATCCAGGCATCTATGATGGAGTATCAGTATCATGCTTGCTAGTTTTTCCATATCTTGGATTGTTTTTTACATGACTGACACCAGTGCAAGGTGTTTGTGTACGGTTTATGAACACCAACGAAAGCAGTACATGTTGTCAGTGACTGAATAACCTCATCAGTGTTTTCACTGATTCTGTGTGTGTATGTGTGTGTTTATTGGCTTTATTATTCCTTCCCTCCAAGCTCCTGTATATAAGCTAATGAGGTGTTTCTTCATGTTGTTTTATATACAGAAATACAGCATAGTACATATAGTAAATTAATGGATTAGTTTTATATGCATATAATGACTATTATTTTTGACTTACAGTTATTATTATAACAATAATAATATGAATATATCTATGTGCAAAATATTAAAGGGTTTTCATTATGTACGCTTGCATGGCATTTATTATTTGTTTCACTAACACTAAAGCACAAAAGCTTTAGTCAGCAGTCTGCAGGCGCAGCTAGATTCCCAAGTTGCTAATTCACTTTGTTTTGATGTAAATTAGACATGTTCTGCCATTTCAGGATGATAGAAAATTAGTGAAACCATCCGATTTGTTTTTAAATCTTCTTTATTTTTTACCATAATATCTTTATTTCTTTTTTGTGTCATGAATACATTCATATTTTCTCAACTGTTACACCCATGAAATCAGAAGCTTTTCGCTTTGGTTTTGAGACTGGGCTTCAGGGCCGACCTCAATCCGTTTCATAATTTCTCAAGCAGGGAGGCTCCGCTCAGATTTTAGTTTCTGAGCATTTGCCTGTGATGAAATCAATTGATCCTCTTATCAACGCCAGAAACACTTTTTAGATAAGAACTGTGCTGTGCTTTAAGATCCCTGTTAAAAAGGCCTTTTATCATAGAGCTGCATAGACCTTTATGTTCTTTGCAGACGCTTTCTCTTAGTTTCTTAAAAGAGTTTATAGAGTTTGCAATTCACGGTGGCTTGCACTCAGGTTGCAGCTAAAACCAAATCTCTTGTGGGTCTATATGGCTATGTTTGAAATGTAAAACTAGTGTACTATTCACTGAATACTACACAGAATATGCTGCATTCTATTCTTAAAAAAAACAGCGAAACAGTGCGCATTATGCCACGACAAATGTTTCAAAAAGCAGTATCCAAGTTATTGTGAAATGATCTCATCACATTAAAAACTGTTGCAATCAAATCACGAATCAAACATTTTACAAATTGAGACAGTAATTATTTTATTATGCACAGTACATACTATATACTGCAGAAACAATAGTAATGGTATAGAGTATATAGTTAATTCATTTAATAATACACATTTACGAAGAACCATACAGAAGTCTTATTTGCTAGAAGATTTCTCTCTGCCGCTGTGAAAAAGTATGTGAATTCTGTGGAAACATCATTTTCTGAAGCAACTGATTCACATATCTATGAATCAATACCAGTTTCAAACAAACTGATCCAGTGTAGACTGTATGCCTGATGTGGAGAGTAAAGGAGAGAGAGGCAGCACATGTGATTAAGATGCATCCTTGCCAGTTCCGGCGAGTTGACAGAGGGCTGCTCTCTCAGGTTCCCTGAGCTGCACCCAGTTCCGCTCTGCTGCATTGCAGTACAGTAAAGGAAAGGCGTGAATGGTAGAGAAGTGAGGAGAAGAGGAGGTAAGTAGAGATGGCAGAGATGAGCACAGGAATGGCGGAGAAAGGATGAATCAGAATGAGGAAGGTGGAGGCCATTCTGTGATTAGAACTGTAGTGGGATAAGGAACAGAAAAGTTATGATTAAAAGGAAGGAGGTGAAGAAGAGAAGTTATGTTAGGGGGAAGGTGGTTCAACAGAGGAGTGTAAATTTGTGGAAAAGAGGCGCAGTAAAGAACTTAAATGTACAGAGGAGAGAGGATTATATGATTATAGGGAAGACATTTATGATCAGATGGCAGGAGGTGCAATAGAGGAATTATGTTTAAAGGGGAAGGGGGTGCAATAGAAGACATTAAATTAGAAGGGAGGATGTGCCGTAAAGGAGAGGAGTTAAGACAGCAGAGAACGAAGTGGACAAATGTGCAGTACAGCAGGTATTATAAAAGAGGAGAATGCGTACAAGGTGCATAAAAGGAGTTATATGTTAGGAAAGGAGGCACAATAAACGAGTTATGATTAGAGGGAAGGAGGTGCAATAGAGGAGTAATTGTTGTAAATAAGGAGGTGCAGTAGCTGATTTATGATTAGAAGGAGGTGCAGCAGAGAAGAGTTAATGATTATAAAAAAGGAGGTGTAATTGAGGAGTAATGGCTATAGAGGAGGAGGAGGAGGAGCATAAGAGAAGTTATGTTTAGAAGGAAGGATGTGCAGTAGAGCAGCTATGATTAAAGGAAGTATAGTTGAGGAGTTGTGATAAAAGAGAAGGAGGCACAATACACGAGTTATGATTAGAGGGAAGGAGGAGCAGTAGAAGAGTAATCATTCTAAAGGAGGTGAAGCAGCTGAGTTGTGATTAGAGAGAAGTAGGTGCAGCAGATGAGTTAATGATTATAAAAAGTAGGTGTAATTGAGGAGTAATGGCTATAGAGGAGAAGGAGCATAAGAGGAGTTATGTTTAGAAGGAAGGTGATTAGAGAGAAGTAGGTGCAGCAGATGAGTTAATGATTATAAAAAGTAGGTGTAATTGAGGAGTAATGGCTATAGAGGAGAAGGAGCATAAGAGGAGTTATGATTAGAAGGAAGGAGGTGCAGCAGAGCAGTTATGATTAAAGGAAGTGCAGTTGAGGAGTTGTGATAAAAGAGAAGGAGGAGCAATACACAAGTTATGCTTAGAGGGAAGGTGGTGCAGTGAGGAGTAATGAATCTAAAGAAGGAGGTGAAGCAGCTGGGTTACGATTAGAGAGAAGGAGGTGCAGTGGAGGAGAGGTGTTAATTATAAAGAAGGAGGTGTAGTTGAGGAAAAATGGCTACAGAGAAGGAGGTGTATTAGAGGGAAGGAGGTTACAATTATGATTAGATGGATTTATGAAGGAAGTTATGATTAGAGGGAGTAAGGTGCGGAGGTGAGAGGGTTTTGATTATAGAGAAGGAGGTGAAGTACACTAAACGAGTTATGATTAGAGGGAAGGAGGTGCAATAGAGGAGTAATTGTTGTAAAGAAGGAGGTGCAGTAGCTGATTTATGATTAGAAGGAGGTGCAGCAGAGAAGATGATAGAGTATGCAAACACCGCGTGAGCGTCACTAACGGGAGCAGAAATGTCCGGCTTGACGGCTCCGTTTTCAACTCCGCCCCCGACTGCAAGCGGCTACTCTCGTTGACTGCCGTCTGTAGCCGTGCTTCAAGTCGAGCGCACCTAATGATTATAAAAAAGGAGGTGTAATTCAGGAGTAATGGCTATAGAGGAGGAGGAGGAGCATAGGAGGAGTTATGTTTAGAAGGAAGGAGGTGCAGCAGAGCAGCTATGATTAAAGGAAGTGCAGTTGATGAGTTGTGATAAAAGAGAAGGAGGAGCAATACACAAGTTATGCTTAGAGGGAAGGTGGTGCAGTGAGGAGTAATTAATCTAAAGAAGGAGGTGAAGCAGCTGAGTTACGATTAGAGAGAAGGAGGTGCAGTGGAGAAGAGGTGTTAATTATAAAGAAGGAGGTGTAGTTGAGGAAAAATGGCTACAGAGAAGGAGGTGTATTAGAGGGAAGGAGGTTACAATTATGATTAGAGGGACTTATGAAGGAAGCTATGATTAGAGGGAGTAAGGTGCGGAGGTGAGAGGGTTTTGATTATAGAAAAGGAGGTGAAGTACAATAGAGAGGTATGATGAGAGGTTAGGAGGTGCAATAGAGGAGTTATGGTTAGAGGAAATGGGACAGTAGAAGAAATATGATTAGAAGGAAGGAGGTGCACTAAAGGAGAGACATTATGACCATAGAGAAAGAAGTGTAGCATAAGAATTAATAGGATGAATGTGCAGTAGAGGAGGTATGATAAAATGGAAAGGAGGTTCAGTAGAGGAGTAATTGTTCTAAAAAGGAAGGTGAAGCAACTAAGTTATGATTAAACAGAAGGAGGTACTGTACAGCTGAAGATGTGCAGTTGAGGAGTCATGGCTATAGAGAAGGAGGTATGAGAAGTTATGATTAGATGGAAGGAGGGGCAGAGTACAATTGTTTTGATTTGATTAGGAAGGCGGCACAGTAGATGTGTTACAATTAGAGAGAAGGAGTTGCAGCAGAGGAGAGGAATTATGATTGCAAAAAAGGAGGCATTATAATTAAGAAGGTGCATAGTAACAGTTGAGTGGATGTACTAAAGAGAATAATGGAACAGAAAATCAGAAGTATGAAGGAACCTGTCATTACTCCAGGGAAGGGCAGTCTGGGCATGCCAACAAGGTCGAAGCAGGTCAATTGCTCAATCTGCATACAGAGCCCAGCACAGAATCTATAAATACTGAGATACAGCACATGATCTGGTTCTGATGAAGGTGGACTGATTGCTCAAGGTTTTATGATGTGATGGAGACGTAAGTCTGTGAGGTACATCACACAGAGATCAATCAAGTTTCAGAATGATTCTACAGTATGCAATATCAGTTATTCTATATTTGTTACTATAAATTGAAAGGTCAACATTGGACATTTCAGCAAACACATCAATTGAGTGTGTTGCCTTGATAATTTCATTTAAACTTTAAAAGTTAGATTCAAAAGTTGGGACAGAACAATTTTTTGACTCAACCTTATTATCTTCTGAAATCAAAGCTGGCAAAGATCTGTCACTGTAAATGACACAATTTCCAATAATATTTTTATTTATTTATTTTCCAGAAGAAGGCTTAAAGGTCAAATTTGCTATAGCTGAGAGCTAATTTACATAAAATGTACACATGGTGGTTTATAAAAATCTTTCTGAAGGTCAGAATCAATATCCGTGTCTATTTAAAATGCCACCAACATTTTCAAACTTTCCAGTTTGTTTGGAATTACTGTACATGTACATCTCTGTACATTTACCACTTAATTAAGGATTTTTTTTCTTCTGTAATTTGTCACCATGACCAATTTGAATGGCTTAGGGCATGCAATAGGTCTGTTCAAAAAGAAGCATCACATGTGAAAAATAAAAGTACATATTAGTAAAATTCTTTGCACAAACACAAAACCCAGAATTCACAGAAAACTGCTATTTTAAATTGCAATAATATTTTAAAATATTACTGTTTTAACCATATTTTTGGTTAAAATAAATAAATAAATGCAGCATTGATGCAAGACACTTATTTTCAAAAACATTAAAAACTATGATTCTAAACTCTTAAGTGTAATTTGAAACC